CGTTGAGCTGTTATTGAGTTTTGAACTTTTTCAAAACTTTCAAACAAGGCTTTGTCAATCCAAAATGTAAAGTTTGTCTTAATAAACTTTGCTTTTTAATTAGTTATATGAATTTCTTCTAATTTAAATTAATTCTCATTTTGCTTCCTTTCATTCAAATACTAAATAGCCATCCTGTCTACCTTAAAGGGGTCATATGATGCGATTTAAATTTTTCCTTTCTCTTTGAAGTGTTACAAGCTCTTGGTGCATAAAGAAGATCTGTAAAGTTGCAAAGACTAAAGTCTCAAATCCAAAGAGATATTCTTTATAAAAGTTAAGAGTCAACCACGCCTACCTAAAATGGCTCGTTCTAAAACGCCCCCACATACCTACGTCACTATCTGGGAAGATTTGCATAACGCCGCCCAAATGTTCACGCAAAGAAAGAAGGCGTAACTTTTATTCTCGCTGTAGTATTGTTGACGCTGCAGCCATGTCGTGAAGACGCTGTGTGCTTCGTTGTGAAAGCGAAACTACTTTGTTTGGCCTTCCAAAAGAGGACGATATCCGCTTCGTCATGCCTAGAGCTGATCCGTGCTGGTCGCTGAGGAAATACATAAATTTCACACTGTGGATCACCAGATCGGCTTTCACCGTGGACCAGTCCAGCCCGGGGTCGTCATATGTGGTTGCCGCAAGCCCACCGGCCGCGCCGTTCTCAAGCCCGCCGTGTGTTACGCTGTGTGTTTCGTTGTGAAAGCTAAACTACTTTGTTTGGCCTTCCAAAAATGGACACGACTAGAAATCAGTGGTTAAGTTGTATTTACAACACTGTTCCAGAACACTTCAACCCAAATATTCAGATGTGTGCCGATAAGCTTTGTAAAAATCGACGCGTTTCAGAAAGGCGGGGCATAGAGGAGAAACAATAATGTACGGTATGTGGAAAATAATGTGTTTTTTGAACCTTAAACCGCATAAACACATTTAATTACACCAAATACACAAAATAATGTTATTTTTAGCAACATCATATGACCCCTTTAACTGAATTTGAAATTTAAAAGGCATTCTCAATGGCGCACAACCCTTATCAATTACACACACACACGAGCATTTAACAACATTTAAAGTGGTGTCTTACTGAGTGGGGGAATCACTTCCATACTATTTATACGGCTAGATGGCTGATCTAAAATTGAAAACATGTAAACAAAATGAATCAAAATCGTCGTAATATGTCACAATCAAAAATGTATAAATTCCAGTGAAGAACTTGGTCATTGTCACAATCAGGTTCAGAGGAAGATGATGAAAATGGTTCAAACAGGTTTCCACAAACAAAAGGTTCTTTAATAAAACAAACTCAGGTAATCCAAATGCGAGACGGCAATGTAACAGCACATCTACACATGAACAATACCAGACAACAACTGAATGAAAGGAGGAACTTAAATACACAGCGTGATAGAACTCAAATGATGAACAGGTGATGACTCGTTAATCAGAAACCATAGTAACAAACTATGGTGGGAAAATGGAACAAAGGAAAGGCCATAGATAGAAACAAATGAAAACGAACCAAAACAGGCAGTTTGTGACAGTCATGCAATAGTTTTCATGTAAAATCTCTGTATTTTATTTTTTATAATTTAAAGATAATTTTTGTTTCTCACCGTCTCTCAGACTTACCAACATGTGTTTCTTCAAGCAACTTTATGGTTTCATTTAGTTTTACTCTTTGTTGCATAATGTCTTCATGGGTTTGCTTTATGACACTGCAGAGATGTTTCACTCTCTCAATCTCTAAAATGAACCAAATACAGTATCAGGGTGAGTCCTTTATCAGTCTTCAATTTGTCAGATGTATTTGAAGGACAAAAAATAATTATGCAAAATAAAATGATACATGCTTTCATACATGTTAACTAAAACATAAAACATATTTAAGCAATATAAACCTGTTTTAGTCAGGACACCAAGCTAAATATGCATATACAACATACAAGTGTTTTTCCATGTATGAACTAGAGAAGAGAATCTGCAGCTTGAACAATATCTTACCTCTCACTTGCAATTGAACTACTCCCCTCTTTTGACATCCATCATGAAAGACTTCGCATGTAAAGTCTCCTGAATCTGATGGCTGAACATTTCTCAAAATCAGAGCAAGATTTCCTCTCCTCAGCTCCTGGATGGACAGACTCACTCGGTTCTCAAAGTCATTATTTGTCATCTCCTGTCTGTTCATATACTGATAAATGAGCTCTGTCCCTCTGAACCATCTGATTTCCATGGACACAGCACTGGTTTCAGGTAAGAGATGAATGGGTAAAAATTACGTCTTCCCCAGGGGCAGCACACACAGGGCCAGAAGAAACCACAAGACTAAAGTCTACAGCTGGAGAGAGAACTACATTTATTATCAAAAACATGAAAAGTAGAAACATTCATAATAATTTTAACACTGTAGAGTGTTTATTACCATTTTCATTTCTGATTTACTAGCTGAGGTTGGAACTTGGTGTCAAAAGGCAGACTTTGATATACATATGGCATGAATTTGACGGGCATTTCTCCTTTTCTAGCTTGCTTCCTAATCTAGTTGTCTAATAAAGATATTATTACAGCAATATTTTTCTGTAAAGATGCTTTGAAGCAATGTCCATTGTGGAAAACTATAAATAAAACTGACTTGACTGTGCATTTGATCAGTATTTGTGCTCCTAGAGAATCAAACCATTTTGTGACCATTTACACAGAGCTCTACCAGTGGAGGTAGAGGAAATCAGCTTTCAATCTGAAGATGTTTTGACTAATTTGGATTATCTTTGAAACTTGTTTAGTTGAATACTTACAGCTGATATGGAGAAAAACAGTATCTTGTATTAATTGACTTTCATGGGTGACCTCACAAATATAGAGGCCCTTCTGTGAACTCCTGACGTCTCGGAGAGTCAAAGACACATTTCCATTTTGTAGATTTTGCAATGGGAGACTCACTCGACCCTCAAAGTCTATGTTCACTGTCACCTGTCCATTCTTATAATGGAAAACTGGATCCTCCTTATGCCACCACTGAATTTCCATTGAAGCAGCACTGATAGCCGGCTTAAGATGACACGACAGAACAACATCATCTCCAGGATGGGAAAATACAATGTCAGACTGGCAAACAACAGAAAACTCTGAAGAAAAGAGAGAGAGAAAAAAAAAATTAATAATACAAATAATAACAAAGAAAAAATATACCTGGCTACATGCATGGGAAAATACAATGTCAGACTGGCAAACAACAGAAAACTCTGAAGAAAAGAGAGAGAAAAAAAAAAAAATAATAATACAAATAATAACAAAGAAAAAATATACCTGGCTACATGTGCCATTTCTGTAATAGTGTTTTATGTACAGTGAGACTCAGCCGAAGCGAGTTACACATCATTTTTCTTTTCACTTGCCTGGAGTAGTTTTTGACACTTCTTTAGCTTCAGCCATTTTCAATATTTCTGCACATCTGAGACACTGATGGAAAAACCACTGTAACAGAAAACAAACTATGACAACATGAATGTGTCCATGAATATGTCCTCACATCTTTTTTGATGTTTAACACACCATATAAAAAAACTTAAGTCGATGAGCAGTAAATCAATTGAATTCAACCCTCTAAATGCATATACTGCAAATATAACTATACTGCTCAGCATGGATAAAATAAAGGTAAATATGGTGCTGTTATGTGAAGGTATGAAAAATGATCAATCATAAATTCCTGTAAATTACACATTAGCCTGGAAAATCAATCAATAAATGAATCGATTACAAATGTCGTTGTCTTTTTATCGAAAACATCTAAAGTAAAAACTTTTGACCTTTTTATTATGCAATATTATTATGAACTTGTCCTTATTATATTAAAATAAAATAAAAAAATTAGGCATCTGCCCACTTACTGGCAAAACATACAGCAGGCTGTTTAAACTCTGGTTTAGAAATGATAAATACAAAAATGAAAGGCGCTTGCTCCTTTACTGGTAATATATGGCCTTTGTAAATAATAATAATAATAAAAAAGATATTTTGCTACGTTAAATAAAATAATTTAAATAAATAAAAAATGACATATACATACAACTAAAAAAAACTATTATCCAGTGTTATCTATAACTTTCAAAATAAATAAATAAAAAATAACCGAGGTATTTTAAACATTTTAGTTTCATATGCCTGTCCACTCAAAGAGACGTAAACTCTTGACTTCAGCTGAGACGAGCAACCTATGAATTAATGTGCCTCTAATGTATGAGACACATTCATAGTGTGGTTATAATTCAACTTACATACGATCAAACTTGTATATTAAACATGTATAATGTAAACTGCCTAAATAAGTCAATTCACTTACCTTCCTTGTTGCAACGACAAAGCTTTCCCCCTGCTTCGTTAACTGGTCAGGTGAGATTTCTCGAACTAGTTTCAGTTGCAACTGAACAAGTGAGATTTATTTCCTTAAATGCTGTTCCACTTTCAGTCACCTAAGTATTCTGTAAAATTATCATTAGGCTAGATTGAATATTCAATGTAATTCATGTTGGACATATTCATAATTATAATTGTTTAGGTTGTTAATGTAAAAATACTTACATTATTATCATCCCATTGACACACAAAACAAATAAATAGGATAAGAAATGTTTAGATTTAGTTAACTATGCATTAAACGGCATAATATAAATAAATATGCATAAAAATCGTTGCTTTAGATTGGAGCTGACCTTAGTTTTTACTGAATCCTTCGCAGCAGTCACCTTAGAAACTAGTTATGCAGGTTATGCAACATAAAATAATAATCTTTTTGGTAATAACTATACATTTTAAATTACTCTGGCACGTTTGTTTGTAACAAAATGTAAAATCTAAACACTGTATCTAGACGTCGCGCGCATAGATACCATAGACTGTATAAGATAGACACGTATACTCTACACATTTATCACGCGCTACCTGTTGCTAAGCAACCGCTTTCCAAACTTTAGCTTGTGTACGCGGCACGAAAAGCGAGAGGTGAGTTTCACAGAAGACTATTTTCACTTTGCTACATATCTGTTATATATATACGGCTACAGATACTTGTGCGCATACATACTTCATACTTTGTAAATGTAAGAATGTTGTTACTTGCGTCGCTACCTAAATAATGCTACGAAATACAAGTTAAGCCAGCTGCTAGCTAATCAAACTCCACAACAGTCCGCTGAAACGGGATAGGAGGAGTGCGATATTATTTGATAGTCGCACTCAGGCACCATCCTAATTTGTAATTTCTAACTATTAATGAAGAATGAGCGCCGTTCGGACTGTTGAGGGCCCGGGATGTGTGACCTGGTGGGGATTCGGACCAGCACGAGACCTCCTGAGCTCAGGTAAAACCAGACTAAACACCATCTTTAGATTAAACACTAATAAACCACAGAAAGAAAAGAAGAACCACAAAATCAGACTAAACCACCACACAGTATCTAACTAAACACAGTAAATATCTATGAAAGTTCACATACATTTGTTTAATATTTGAACTCTCATTATTATGTAACAGTTACAGACACACACAGAGTGAGGCCGCATGGAGAGCTGAATATTTTGCTGGTGGGCAGTGCAGATCCTAGAAACATACTGAAGACCATCACTGGACTGACAGACTCAGACACACTACATGTGAGTGATTCTTTTACATATAGCATATGGATTGAGATTAATCACATATTACAAAATCAGCTGCTTTATGCATGTTAATGATGAGATGTGTGGTTTGTTGCAGGTTTGGGTGATTGAGAACAGCATGGAGGTGGTTGCCAGACAGCTAGTACTACTTTATTTATCACTTCTGACCCCTGAGAACATGAGTTTACACAGTATGTACCTTAATATCTAAATAATGAAAAATATTTTTAAAATGATTAATTATAAATAAAATATATTAATTATAAATATAATCAATTATTATTTTATACACAATTGACATTTCTAAGGTCTAGAAAGATGTAGAAAATAAAGGAATACAAATAAAAAATTAAAAAATATCTCCAGAGAAATTATTTTATGATTTTTTCTTGTACATTATAAATGTCACTGCATTCATGCTTGTACTGTTGTACAACGCTTTGTGTTGTATTTTCCAGAGAAGACAGAAGTGTTTCTGGAGGTGTTTGGAAACTCTGAGATTCGCAAAGAGACAGAAGAAACGTTAAAACACGCCGCAGCTCAACTCTCTCTGTCTATCACAAACACTCTGTTCTCGGACTCGCACACCCATCCTTGCCTTGATACAAGCCTTCTGAAGGTCCAGCATACATTCATCTGTTATATTTGCATTTATGCTGCATGTCATAACCAAACTCAACTCAGTAATATCGACTCATCTGCTGTTTTATCATAGTTTAAGGAGAGAGATGAGTTGGTCCGGATCTTTAAACTGTGGGAACGGCCGCCATCAGTTCCAGCAAGTGTACGTAAGGTCTGGGATGCCCGTGTTCGGCAGCACCTGGGGACTCGCTATGACTCACGGCAGGGCTGTTTCGACTGGGATCTCGCTATGAAACTGCACCAGAGCGGCGTATGTACCAGTACCAGATGAGACACTATTATACACCTCTACTCCTGACAGCCAATCAGAGCAGTGCAATAAAAACTCAATTTAACTGTATGTTACACAGACATCTGGCAAATAGGCTTATTTCAGGCCATATTTTGTTACAAATGTGAGTTTATAGGTCATTTTTGAATTACTAGCACCTAAATTACAAATAATGATTCATAGCATTCCATGTTTCCATCTATGAAGTGACACCAATCTCATTGCAGTGTTATTTTAGTATCATTGATTTTTCTGTGATTATATGTGATTTTTCTCTCAGTGTGGTGTCATTAGCAAACATCAGTATGTGAAATGGAGGGAAAGCGGTGTGGCTTTTGAGATGAGAGAGGGGCTCTACCAAACAGCCAATCAGAGTCTGCTCTCCACGCGAGTGTTCAATCATGTGAGTAATTGACTTTCTGCTATAATAGTCGTTGTTGTTGTGCGGCCCATGATAGACTGTCATGCAACTGTAAATCTCTGTGTGTTTGTACCAGAGACGAGATCGGGTTGCTGTTAGAGGCTATTGGGGCGACATCGTCTCCAGTCCATATCTGTCCTTCGGCATAGAGACAGAAAACAAAGATCTGCTGAAGAAACAGAACAACCAACATGTGAAGGTGAATGAACTAGATCATTACCTCCCAATCAAAATCACAGATGTAAACTGCATTTTCATTTGCATCATGATTTACCCTTCTCTGGCCATCTTTCTCTCTCAGACGGCTCAGGATATTTCAGAAGTGAACGTCCTGGCATTATTTGAATGTCTTTCCACTAGAGGGAGCTCTTTACTGAATGAATATGAACCAAACCCTTCAACTTCCTGCAGTCAATCCACAGACAGTCTCATAACAGAAGAGAAGATACAGAATGATCCACCTGCTTCTCAAACTCACACAGAACCTGAGCAACATCCAGCAGAACAACAGACACAAGTGCTTGGTAACATTGTCTTATGTCAAATAGTTAATATACTAAAAGCCACAAAACAGTTTATAGTTGTAAGTAACAGTTCTCAATATTTTTCTGTGTTTTTGCAGATTTGCTCAGTGTGGATGGAGTGAAAGTGACATTTCTGTCTCCAGACTCGCTCAAAAAACTTCCTCTCAAAAAGAAATACAGGAACTTGTTTAAAACCATCTACTGTTCAGCCAGGTGAAGCCTGTTCATATGCAGCTTACAGAAACTGTCTGGGTTCGTGTCAAAAATATCTGCAGACATACAGAATAACACGATCTCTGTTTTCTCAGTATGGTTCATCAGCTGGATTCTTCTCTGAGAGAGATCACAGCACCTGATGCTGCTCTGGTAATAGAGTTAGCAAAGTGAGTCCATCATCACACACACAAACACACAAAATTCCTAAACCTTCTAACCCAATGACTTACATTTGTGCTCATGGCACACAGCTTGTAAGCAAATCTCCATTAAATGTTCATGATCTCTGTTTTTCTTGTTCAGCTTCCTGTTGGACCTTTCAAAAGAGCAAGTGTCAGGTTTTGCTGACAAAGTGAACGAGATTGCTGAAGAATCAGGATTCACAGTAACGCATTACCAAAGCAGTGACGTATATGCAGTATTCACACGGAAACAAAACTGAAGGACTCTGACACGGAGATATTATACCAACAAACATCATTATAAAACCACAAACACTTGTGTGCTTGAACAATTTTAATAAAAAAAATGGCCTGTTGTCTCTTCTTTTTCATTCACATACAAAATGTCAAGGAATTACAGATTGCCAGAGTAAGAGAGAAAGTGTAAAGCTCTGCGGTGTACAGATAGTCTGAAACCAAAGAAAATCAGAGAAACAGTCAGGCAGATACAGAATACAGTACTGACCCGGGAGAAAAGAGAGATTGATCGCTGGATGATTCAACATTCATCAGACAGATGAGGTAAAACACTGCCGCTCCAGACTAATATCAGCACTACACAAACGCTTGCATTGCTACTGTTCTCAGTTTCAAGTTAATTATTAGAATAGTGACAATAATAATATAATAAGAACAATAATAAAATTCTTCAGTAAGGTTTAAACTCAAACAGTGTAAGCAGTGTTAGGCAGTACAGAAAAATGACAAGAACTTTTTGAAGTATATATATATATATATATATATATATATAATATTTCCACAATGACCTTATCTAGTTGTGCAAATGAGATCTTGTGCACTTGAAAGGCAACTTTATATTGTTTAAAGTGCCAAATATGAGGGCGTACAGAGACAATAAAGAGTAGAGCTGCCAACAGATTGCAAAGACAAAACGGAAAAACTACAAGGAAGTTTAGAAGCCCTTGCTCTCAGTCCAGCCAAGTGACGCAAAGGGCCTACAGAAACAACACATCCTCGTGAAATACAGCATTAATGCAGACTGTACAGTGATTGTACATTTTTGATGTTGATGAGCATCTCATTAATTCACCTGTGAAATCAGTCACCACCTTCATGTCCTACGCAAAATGTAATCGTTTTTGTTAGGTTATGTCTAATGCAGCAATTGTTCAATCATATAGTGGTTACAATAGTATAGTTACAGGAATATATCCTGCCTCTCAACTCTAATCTGTCTATTTATTTATTTATATTATAATACCTCATGTTTTCTTTTAATTATTCTGTCAGTAATTTAAATGAATAGTTTACCCAAAATAAAAATATACTGAAATACCAACCAAGATGTAGATGAGTTTGTTTCTTCATCAGATTTGGAGAAATTTACATCACTTGCTCACCAATGGATCCTCTGCAGTGAATGGGTGCCGTCAGAATGAGAGTCCAAACAGCTGATATAAACATCACAATAAACCACAAGTAATCCACACCACTCCAGTCCATCAGTTAATGTCTTGTGAAGCTAAAAGGTGTGTGTTTGTAAGAAACAAATCCATCATTAAGGCATTTTAACTTTAAACTGTCACTTCTGGCCAAAATAGTCCATAATCCATAACAACATATTTATTTAGAACTGTTTTTTTTCTTGTAAACAGTGCTTCCTTCATCTGTGCATATTTCTCTCCTGATTCAGACAACATTTTCACTGGAGAAAGCAAATATTATGGATTATGCACTGCTCGTATTTTAGCCGGAAGCAACTGTTTGAAGTTAAAGACATCTTAATGATCAATTTGTTCATTACAAACACAGTTTTTGCAGTCTTGTTGATTACTTCAGGATTATTATGATGTTTTTATCAGCTGTTTGGACTCTCATTCTGACGGCACCCATTCACTGCAGAGGATCCATTGGTGAGCAAGTGATGTAATGTAAATTTCTCCAAATCTGATGAAGAAACAAACTCATCTACATCTTGAATGGCATGTAAATTTTCAGCAAATCTTCATTTTTGGGTGAAATATTCCTTTAAATGACACAACACTTCTACTTTTTTGAAAATAGAATTTACGTGGAATATTTTTAAAGGGTTTAGTATTATTATTGAAAACATATTAATCATGACCACATTTAGCTTTGAAAGCATTCTGGCAATCTAATTAGTTCATTAGAAGGTTAACCACATGATTTAATTCCAAGTACACAATTTAAAATTAAAATCATATCAGATTTTGTATTACATACTTAGCTTTGTTAAGGAGACATCTCTTTGTAAATTAAACAAACTATTTGCAATTAACTGGCCTTGATTTTTCTTTGAAGTTAAACTGTGCATTTGAAACACCTGAGATATTTTCAGAAATGTGTTGTGGCGAAAAATGTTTCTTCTCGGGCATCGCTTTCTTTAGACCTATTAGACATTCTTAAATTTATTAAATTAATTGTAAATTGTTATTAAGTTATTATTTTATCTTAACTCTTCCTTGTGTAAAAAGGAAAAAAAAAAAAGTACTTTTACATAAAATTTTTTTAAAATTAATAGACTTAATAGTGAGATCAACACATCAATGTATCTGGATAGTCACATTAAAACTGCAGTCACATGTAATATTCTGAGTCATTAGTCACTGAAATCTTATATTATATATACTTCTGCTCTGGGATTCAAGTAAATCGACACTGGATTTTAGTCCAAGGTCCAAGTTATTCTTACACCTTACACTGACCAGTTCAGATGTGGAGTTTCTATTTGGATGTGATTTATTGTACTGTAAGAGCAGTGAAGTGCCTTCATCAGAAGGTACAGAGGTGATGCATTACTGAGATCCTCGGTCAAGCTTAGGTGTAATGAACCTACAACCATTACACTAACTCGATTCTTCATTATTTAAAAATGAGGACCAAACAAAATCTAAATGGACTGGACCTACTGGAAAACACACAAGGTTTTCCCCTATCTCTCGCTTTTAATCCTCTTTTATATATTTTATTTAACTAATACATTTTTAGACGAAGCAGCTTCCACCATTTTTACATCATTATGTTGTTCATGGCTTCATGGCATCGATTTGTACAACAAGCATGGAATGTATGAATGCACATTTGCGTGTAATAACAAACGTGCATTCAAACTAACACACACACACACACGCAAACGCTATTTCCTAGTTATATGCAACCTCATGTCTTCTTCTGACCGTCATGGGCGATCTGTTCTACCTCTACAGGTCTTTTTTGCTGTTCTTCGAGTGGTTCTGCTCAGCTTTGGACGGGTCTGGTTTCTCTGGTGACATCAACTCTAGGAGATCCATCAAGGCCTTCTTGATATCAGCTCCAAACTTGTGAGAATCCTACAATCCAGAACGAAAATAGACACAAATTAGCATCATTTTCATCAAACACTGTCGTAGCCAGGTGTAGCACCGTAAAGAAAGCCACAAATGTTATATTTGCCATAAAGGGACCTTTCACCCAAAAATGGAAATGTAATAATCATTTAGTCACCCTCATGTTGTTCCAAGCCTGTATGTATTTAATTAATGTTGGTAACCAAGCAGATGCTGGTAGCCATTGACTTTAAAAGTATGGGAAAAAATACTATGAAAGTCAATGGCTACTGGCAACTGTTTGGTTACCAAATATCTTTTTTTCTGTTCAATATCTGTTCAACAGAAGATTCTGTACATACAAAATTCATACAGGTTTGGAACCACTTGAGGGTAAGTAAATGATGACAGGATTTTCATTTTAGGGGCAGTCATGGCCTAATGGTTAGAGAGTCGGACTTGTAACGCAAAGGTCAAGGGTTTGAGTGTCGGTCACTTTTTCACTAATTAGTTTATATATATATATATATATATATATATATACAGGGTTCATTTATTTTTTATTTCAGTTTTATTTTTCAGTTAGTAATTTGTAATGTTCGTTGTTAAATACACTTTGCAATTAACCTTTTTCTTGCTTCTATCAGTAGACTTATGGTATTATTTATATACTATTATAGTATTTGTTAATATTTTAAAATGAGATTTTATTTGTATATTTTCAGTTTTCATTTTCATTTTAGTTTAAGGTCTAGTAATTTTGTTGTTATATGTTATGAAATTTTAGTACCAGTATCAGTTAGCTGCCAAGACAATATTTCACATTTTCATTTAAGTTTAAGTTTATCATATAAAATTTATATTTTATTTCAGCTTATTTTCAATTAACAAAAATATTATTAATACGTTTCGTTTTAGTTTAGATCCTAACCAACTTCAGAAAGACATTTTGTCAATTCATTCGCTAGTCGCTGTTTTTTCTTTTCCTATGGTTTCAGAAAATTGTTAATGAAAGCACGGTGTACTAACAGTCTGAGGACATGAGTGTTTGCAGGAAATGTGCAAGTTGATCATGTTTTCTCCGATGATGATGTAAGACACGCCGTAACCATCATCTGCAACCTGCCAAGAGCACACAAATGAAAATAGATTAAATGCACACACACACAAAAAAAAAGTACCAATGGTTTAAGAGTAAATTCGTGAATATGCATGAATATTTCTGACCGGGCCAAATCCTCCACCGCAGGTGGTGTAGTCAGGGTGGTTAACAAAATCAAACAGCTCCACCTGCTGAAGAGGAGTCTGACTGGTGGAGAGGCGCCAAGTTTCTGAAAGCACCTGAAGAAAAAACACACACAAATTTAATATTACATCATAATATTACACATCTTTTTTTTTTAATTGTATGAATATTTTATTATTTAAGCATTATTTCAGTAACAAGAATGAGATTTTTTGCCTAATGGTAATGAGAACTGTCATGAACGCAAAGTCACAATGCAAAAAAAAGTTCTAAATGTGGGAAAGAATGAGGAAATTTCCTTTGCGCAATTGTTTCTTTCACTTATGACACACATGCAAGTGCATCTGCAAGGAAGCAAAATACAGTTAAACTTCCTTGTTCGGCAGATATATTGTAACTGCGGAGCCCTTCCCAGTGTTACACACCTCTTTAAGGAAAGGCGACTCCTCTCCCAGGTATTTGGACACAATGTAGAGGCAGAACAGGTGTCTGTCTATTCCTTCTCCTGTCATTGCCATCCTGTACAGATGCTGGTGTTTCTCAGCCGCCGTACGGAAGAGATGCCGACACACTTCCTTACTCTACAGACAGAGAGAGATGCTTACATATGCACTTTTATTTGAATTTGTGCTCGATTTGTGAACTAACGGTTCTTAAACGATTCACAATGTAGCAACACAGTGTGAAATTAAGTAATCAAACGCAAAATAAAAGTATTTAAATTATTCTATTAAATTGGGAAAATTACAGTAATTACAGCATTTAAATGCATTTTTATGGCTATAATCTTAACCTGCATCACTCATGGTGATACATTTAACAGCATTTAACAAATGTTTATGTCACTACAAAAACAGACCATGTAGAATAATGTGTGCATGTGTGTACTGGAACTGTTCTTCATCAATATGTTTATATATTAGTGTATATGTTGGTTACCTCTCCGCCCTCCAGAGCTCTGACGAAGGTGCAGCTCTCACTGGTGCAGGAACGCACCGTCTCAGTCCGGCCCTCGCGGAATAGACGGGTCATAGACGCTTCATAGGTCAGAGTGAACGAGCCTCGATTCTGGATGTGAGGAAGGAACGAGAAGAGAAGAATGTTATCGTTTTATCAATTATTCAGTCAAGTTTATATTTTAATACAATATAGCTAGATTAAAATTGTTAGGGTGCCCTGGGTGGTTACTAATGTGTTGGAAGGTGGTTGTTATGTGGTTGCTAGGCTGCTGTTGGGGGTTTGGATAGTTGTTTGAGTGTTGCTAAGCAATTGCTAGCATATTTTATGTTGTTAATTTGACTCAGCATGTTGCTGGCATGTTTCTAACTGGTTTTAACACGTTGCTAGCACATTTGATCACATTGCTTAAATTTTTTAACATATTAATAGCATGTTTTAACATGTTACTAACATGTTTTAAAATGCTGCCAACATGTTATAGTGTGTTAAGAACATTGTTAACACATGCTTCTAGCATGATTAGTATGTTTCCAACATGTTTTATAATTGTTAGCATGTTGCTAACCTTAAAACATGCGGCGTCTAAAATGTTTAACGTGTTTCTAGCATGTTATTTTCCTAACATGTCTTAACACATTGTTAGCATGGTGCTAACATGTTTAGTATGTTTCTGGCATGTTTCAAAACATTGCTAGCATGTTTTAACATGCTTCTTACATGTTTAAAATGTTGCTAGCAACTGTTTTAGAACTGTTTCAATGCGTTTAGTATGTTTCCAAAATGTTTTATAATTGTTAACATGTTGCTAACTTTTTAATATCCTTCTAACATGTTTAACATCGCCCTCTCAGTCGGACTATCCCGCCCCCTCACTCAAGACGAGTGTGAAAATAGATTTAAATTATGAAATATAATGGTTTATTTAAAAAAAATACAGTTGCTAAATGCATAGACTTTCTAGCATTAATATGATGCTACTATAGCAACAATTAAGGACAGTCCACTTCACAAAGTCGCATTTTACATGTTACATATGACACACAAACTTCCTGCGCAAGCCGTGCAACTAAGAATGCAGCACTACTGAGTAAGTTAAAGGTATGATTAAATAATTTTTTTATGTTTAATAGAGGGCTAGAGGATCGTAGTTAGTTGATTATTTCGCTGTATTGTTATTGTTTGTTGCTGTTCAAGTTGTTCTAACTTAAAATTATATTGGTCGTAATGAATGTCTTATGTCAGGGAATCGGTTGCAATGAGCTTGTGTTTCATTGTAAAGCAGACACAATTAAAGGGGTCATATGATGCTTTTTTAAAGATCATTATTTTGTGTATTTGGTGTAACAGAATATGTTGACTTGCTTTAATGTTCAAAAAACACATTATTTTTCAAGGAAAACTTGAAATCGCATCATATGACCCCTTTAAGTATTTCTGGTGGTTGTGGTGGTGTCTGTATTTGTGGTAAAACTGCTGCCTAAGACATTTATTTCCTGGATGTCAGATTTTCGAATTTGTTGTCTATGCGATTTTGTTTTATTCAATATTCTGCCATCTGTATTTGCTAAGTACCTTTTAGTAGGGTCATTCACTCAGAACGCATGTTTCATTCCACTGCGGTACTTTTCCATTGTATTTCAAAGTAAATTCGCTACTATGGACGTCTTTGAATTTGTGTTTGAATGCTGCGCTCTCGTCTCAGGTCTTTATAGCAGCTTCTCGCACATACATCATTCTAAAACACGGCGCTCAAGTTCAAAGAAATTCAGCTTCTAAAAACACGTCTCTAGACCTTGCGCTTTATTAAAAAAAAAAAGAAAATCCTGTCTCGCGACCAAAACACTATCTGTGTGAACCATTCTAATAGCTGTAGTAGTAGCGTGCAGGTTTGTTTATGGTCCAACAAATACGTGAATGGACCGCATACGTTGTTTTTTTATTTTTTATTTTATGCTACGTCATCGCCCCCTTTCGTTACCTCAGCCGCCCCCTCATCAGTGCTGCGCTGGTGCCAGCTCTGATCATGAATACAGTGGTTGCCTCTAACTGAATGGAAAGAGCACAGGCCTTAGTTTGTTTATATGAAGAGATTTCTTTTATTTGTTTTATCTATTTATTTGATTTGAGGTTTGTTTTAAAATTTAATATTTCAATTTCACAAAGAAATGTTCAGCATTTTGTCCAAGCAATAATAAAAGGACATCTTTTCATATATAAATTGTCTTAAATCTCATTTTGTTAAAAAAAAAAATCATGAGAAAATCGTATCGTGAAATCAGTATCATGAATCGTATCACATTCGAGTTGAGTGAATCGTTACATCCCTAGTATCTTTCTAACATGTTTTAACCTTGTTATTTTTTTATATTTATTTTAATA